AGGAAACTAACACTAATACATTACTAGCAACTAATCAATAGATCTTCAAATTTCACAAATACCCTTTTTCTGGTTCAGGATCAAATCCAGGGTCACATACTGCACTGTTATTTCCCCCTTAATCTTCTTTGACCTGGGATATTTCTTGTTTCTTCATTTCTCATAACCTGTTAAGTGTATTGGCTATTCTGCAGAATGTCCTTCAGTTTGGGTTTGATGTTTTCTCACGATTAATACATATCTGGCAAGAATGCCACAGAAGTGATGCTGTGTTCACCTTGGTGCATTACATCAGAGAGCATATTATGTCAACAGGCTTATTATTACAGGTGACGTTAACTCTGATCACTTGGAGTGTCTGTCAAGTTTCTCCACTGTAAAGTTTTTTCTTTTTTTTTTATTGTTTAAAGTATTACGTCTCCTTTTCCCCCCCAATTAACCACCCCCACTCCCTGCCCGCTGCCACTCCTACCCCCAGTTTTCCCTTCTTTTTAAACAAGATATCAATGCAGAAAGCAAAGTGCTGGCAATTTTATTACCAATATTTACTTTAGATTATGCCTTTCCATGACACAAAAAATGGTCTTAAATGTTGCCTCCCAAAACAGCTCCTTAATGGTTTTGACATTTCCAAAGGAACTCACTTGTCAAAACACATTCATTCGTGCAACATGTTAAGACCCTGTGTGACAGACGCTGTGCCCAGCATTAACAATACTTTACAAATTAAAGAAAGATAGTGTCTTGCCCAACAAATCAATTCAGTAAAAGAGAAAAAAAAGCAAAAGAAATAGATACACGTTAAGATGAGTGTTTTGATGGAAAAGTACACGGACAAAGGGAGATGCGAGTGGAGGGAATCGACTTTAGGTAAGGATGGTGAAGAACTTTTTGAGATGACATTTAAACCGAAGCTCCAAGAGTCGGTCCAGGAAATGGGAAGTGAAGATCGCGGGTGAGAATTCGGGGAAACCCATTTAGGCCGCGGCCCTAAAAGGCAATGAAGGAGCAAGTAAACGTAGATCTGGAAGAACGCAAGTAAAAAGGAGAATGATTCAAGAAGCCTCCTCAGGAGGGGCAGAAAGGTTTCCGAATTCTCCAGGCCGGGTGGCACTTAACCCGGGGAGTGACCAGGTTCAAGGCAGCCACCCCGGGTGTGAAATGGAGACGGGAGGGGAAGCGCCTGGCGGAAAATCAATCCCGTCCCCAACAGGGGAGCCTCGGGGCCGCTCTCAGGGCCGACTCGGGGCGACCCAGTCCGGTCCACGAGACCCGGGGCGGCGCCTCGGAGCCGCGGAAAAGCCGGTCTTCTACCTGCAAGGGGGTGGGGACGGCCTCTCCGAGGGCCGGTTTGGCCCTGCCCCTCGGCAGCTGAGGGACGGACCCTCTCGGGGCCTGCAGTTCCTCACGCCGACAACTGACAATGTTCCCCGGGGCCGCGGTGGGGAGCGAACGGGCGAAGGCACGGAGGTTGGGGTGCAGGTGTCGAGGTGAGGAGGGGCCCCCCTTACCGACTCCGGAGGCCGCCCCTCAGCCCGAGTGGGCGGAGCTCCCCCTTCCGGGGAAGCGTGTCCCAACGGTCCCTCCCCTGGCGACGTCGGAGGTGGGGCCGGGGGGAGGGCCGCAGCCTGGACCCGGCAGCAGCCAACATTGATTCTGACCGTTTTCCACGGGAAAAGCATTCTCCCCGGACCACGACCCTTCCCGGCGAAAGTCACCCCCACTCCAGAGGCCGCGGGAGCGGAAGTCCAGGCAGACACTTATCCGCCACACAGCTGGTCTGAGGGGGGACTCGAACCGGCGGCCAGCGGCCGAGCCCGCACT